GATTTCTACATTCACCAAATTTGTTTTAAATTTCATGCTTTGGGGCTGGGAAGGTGGCTCAGTGGTAGAGCCCTTGCCTTGCATGCTTGAGGCCCTGGGTTCCATTCCTCAGCACCACATAAGCAAAAAGAAAAAAGCCAGAAGTGGCGCTGTGGCGCTGTAGAGCTCTAGCCTTCAGCTGAAGAGCTGAGGGACAGCGCCCAGGCCCAGAGTTCAGGCCCACTACCGCCCTCCCCCCCCCCGCAAAAAAATAAATTTCATGCTTTGTCATATAACACAAAGTCATAAAAAGACTTACGGGTGTTTACCCACAGGAAGGATCTGTGTAAGGTAAGGAATCCAGCCTCATCCAATAATGAAATGTAGTGTCCCATGGCTTCACTGCTTTAATTTCCTTAATGTCATATATAGCAGGCAGCTGTTTCAGACAGCTGCCCCAATGAAATACATTTAGATATGTCCTGGACTACAAAATGTGTTGAAAATAGAATGGAATTTTGATGTAACCTATATCTCTTCATCAAAGTTGAAGAAATATGGTAAATCATGGAGAGATATTCCACTGAAAAGAAGACACAAATTTTTTGAGAACAAAATGGGCAGTATAAAGGACAGAAATCTTTTTTTTTCCCTGTCAATCCTGGAGCCTGATTTCTGGGCCTGGGCACTGTCCCTCAGCTCTTCAGCTCAAGGCTAGCGCTCTACCACTTGAGCCACAGCACCACTTTCAGCTTTTTCTGCTTATGTGGTGCTGTGGAATTGAACCCAGGGCCTCATACATGCAAGGCAAGCGCTCTACCACTGAGCCACCTTCCCAGCCTCTAAATCTTATTTTTTTTTTTTTGTTTTGTTTTTTTGGGTCCGGTCATGGGGCCTGAACTCTGGGCCTGGGTGCTGTCCCTCAGCTCTTCAGCTCAAGGCTAGTGCTCTACCACTTGAGTCACAGCGCCATTTCCGGCTTTTTTCTTTTTTCTTATGTGGTGCTGAGGAATCGAACCCAGGGCCTCAGGCATGCAAGGCAAGTGCTCTACCACTGAGCCACCTTCCCAGCCCTAAATCTTATTTTTGAAGTATGATTTTTTAAAGTTTGGTTCTTTCATTGGGGTTCTCTGAGTCAAGTATTGTTTTAAGTACTTTGGATTCACTAAAGAGACAAACAGGATGAGGTTTTTCTTGTCCTTATGTGATTTGCCTTACAGTGATGTCAGAGAGCAGGATTTTTTAATATGTGAGAAATTAATAAACATATAAAAAGTAAGTGATAGGAAACCAATGAAGATCATTTGAGAAGTGGATTCAGGAAAATCTTGAAATGGTTGCCTGCCTGGACAAGCATATCATGACCCTTTCTCAAAATCCAAACATAAATGGGCTAGGGCATTCCTAAAGTTAGGTAGACAATTTGCCTGACATATTTTAAAGACCAATGTTCAATCCCAAGTACCAGAAAAATAAAATAAATATAAAATAAGTGAATAGCAAGTGGTGACTGAGGTTTGAAAATCCAGTGGGAATAGCCAACATGTTCTAGTACATCACAAATTTCAGTATAATTTGAGCCAAAATATTAAAATTCGGGATTATCAAAAACAACTACTTTTGTTTACCAAAAACTCATGCCCATTTTGGCAAATCAGAGCCCATGACATCCCATGCTTATAAACTGTACACCTTTCTTTATTAGGTTTTTAAAATTATTATTATTGTAAAATACCATACAGAGGGTTACAATTACATGGGCAAGATAATGAGTACATTTCTTATCATCTTTATTAGGTTTTCTTAATTTGGATGTCTACTGAGAAATCTGTATACTACCTTAGTTCTGCAATATTAAAATCTGTCCCAAGTAAACAGGTAGAAAAACTTGGGATATGTCAAATGGCTAATTTGAGTACTTGCTCATAACAACTCATACCCTATGCTTTACCTTGTGCCACCAAAATTAATAGAAAACAAAATAATCTGCTCATTGGAAATTTATATCATGTCTTAAGTTCTTGAATTTCAGTATCATACTTGTATTAATAAAATGTTAGTTGTAACCTAAGGGTACATCCTAAAAGATATGATTTCATATTAATTATAGAATGCTATAATACTTTAGATATATATTAGTGATATTTCCTAAATGTTGTAGTAGACTAGTTATGATGTTAGTCTTCACTTATTTTTTTGTGTGTGCTTACCTATAAAATCAGAACTTTCAAATTTCAATGTATCTGAATTTATACATTCTTTCCCTTATGCTCTGTATATCTAAGATTTGTAGATAAGTATCTGGGTCTATTTTCTTTTGCTAATACTATTGAAGCAATACTTGGAACAGTCTAAAGGGGAAAAAAAGGCTTAACTTCTGTCTGAATCTGCTCCAAATCAAGGGGCTGCATAAAGTTTTGGCTTTTGTGTTGCTAAAACTCTCAAGGTAGGACAGGGCATCACCCAGCAAGTGATACCTCTCATTTAGAAAACCCAGCCACACCAGCTTTAAAAGAAAACTCTCCCTCCCTCTCCCTCCCTCCTTCTCCATTCTCTCTCTCTCTCTCTCTCTCTTTCCCTATCTCTCTTCTCCCTTTCTCTCTCTCCCTCTCTCTCTTTGTCTGTCTCTGTCTCTGTCTCTCTGTCTCTCTCTGTGTCTTTCTCTCAATCTCTCTCTCAATCTCTCTCTCCCCCCCCCCAATCCATTAACCAGTGGAAGGTTCCACCTCTTAACAGCTAATCTTGGGGATTAAATTTCAACCTGAGCTTTAGAAGAGACAAACCACTTGTGAGCCACAGTAATAAGTATAATTTTCATAGTTTTTTCCCTTATTTAACAGTCAGAGGCATAGTCATTTTCAGTATCCATCCATTACGCATACTTACACCTGTAAGCATCCTTGTAAACCCTCCCGATCTCCACCAAACTTTACTGGACTCTACCCTTCCTCTGATACAATGCTGAGTAGGCTTCATACCAACCATGAAGTGCCCTTTATCTTTGCTTTGGGTCTAACATCATTGTTTTAAATTTTTGTTTGTGCATCTACTTATCATCCATTAAACAAAAGTTTTGGGAATTCAAAATTATGAAGTTTTACAGCTATTAATTTCTCTGTAACTTTTTGTAGTTTTAGGATATATATATATATATATATATATATATATATAGTTTCTTGACTATTTTGAATTTGTGCTACATTGTGATATGAGTCCATGTTCTACGTTGTTATCCAGTTATTTTCTGAAAATATGGGTGATATCTACAGCAGAATCTCGTTATTCCTTTCTATAACACTGCCAGGATATTATATCAATGGAGCCTCAGAAATCATTGCTTAATGTTTTATTTCACACTGTGCATTACAAAATATTTATTATATTATTATCATCCTCTAATAATCTTGTAACATAGGTATTCTCAGTTTACTATAGACAAGAAAATTAAGAGAATGAAGGGATTTACTTAATTAGCTTGAAAAATCAGATGATTTCATGCTCTATCTTTCAAACAGCATGTATATGTTGAGTTTCTCTACATGATGTTTGCAGGGATGATGCCAATCTAAACAATATCATTTAAATACAAAAGCTTAAAAGCTATGTACATATGACCATATAAGATGATGCGAAGCTAAATGAATCCCAAGATATGGACACAAGAAGTTTTTCTTTGTTGTTGTTTTTAATGTACTATGTGATTATGTTTGTTTCTTTTTTATGTTCTTCCTCCTATGGTATATCCCTGTTGTCACTATATTTGATTTTAGTGCCTTGCATCTAATTTGAAGATGGGAAAGGGAATAACAAATTGCTGAAACAAGGACACAGGATGACCCATTGCAACAATGATACTCACAAGACACTATGTTGGAAATGAATTTTACAACTTTGAGGTGGGGGGAGGAATGGAGGAGATGGGGGAGGGAAGGAATAGTAGGAGAAAAACAAAGAAGGGAGTAACAATTCTCGACAAGAAATGCATTCATCACTTACTGATGTAAATGTAACCCCTCTGTACAGCATCTTTACAAGAAAATAAAATTTAAAAAATATGAAACGTAAAAAATATCCGCAGGGCACCGGTGGCTCACGCCTTTAATCCTACTCAGGAGGCTGAGATCTGAGGATCACAGTTCTCCAATAAACCAAGGGCACTGTGGCTTACGTGGTAGAGCACTAGCCTTGAGCTGAAGAGCTGAAGGACAGCGCCCAGGCCCAGAGTTCAGGCCCCACGACTGACCAAAAAAAAAAAAAATATATATATATATATATATATATCACAAGAAAATCTATCTACAGAGATTGTTATCACTCAAAATGAGGAAATACCAGACAAAATTAAATGCCATAAATCAAGCTAAACCTTACATTGCACATTATCACCTAAAATTAATGTTCTATGTAAATGAACATATTTCTATTTAATATTACTGATTCCTTACCACCACCAGAATCTCATGTCATCTTTGCAGCCTCCTTTCCCCTCCTTCCATCCTGCACCTACAAATAAGTAGCCCATTTTGAGCTATTCCCTTATCACCTTTTACTCCTGGGAGCTCCTGTGGTTTGCTTATTGCTATTACTTGCTTAGTGTTAATAGCAACTTTCTTTTTGATGACTACATGCAATTATAGCTGCCTATCAACATGAGTAGGATGCTGAAGAAACCATATTTCAATTACAATAGAGTTTTCACAATTCTGAAAATAAAACGTTATTGCCTAATTGTTCTTTTGTTTGTTTTGCTCTTTTCTCAGGCATATGTTGGGATCTTTAAGAATTGTGACTTAGAGTCTATGGAAATCATAAAACATTTTAAAGGGTCACAACGCCAGAAGACAAATAACTTTTCTAATTATGTTTAAATGTAATATTATAATTTCTTTGCTACTATATACTCCTCACCTTAGATGGAATACTAGGGAAGGCATATTTTAAAGATCTGCAAATGAAAAAGGGATAGGCAGGTTATATTACTGTGCATAGGAATGTGACGTTTTCTCTTCCTTTTGTTGCAGGAGCAGGAGAATCTGGGAAAAGCACTATTGTTAAACAAATGAAGTAGGTAAAGAACTATGTCAAGTATTGAATATGTGATATGTGTCCATGTGTTTGACCATTCTTACAATGCTTTGAGAGATTCAGGAGTGGAGAGCTAGAGTTAGCACGGTGTCTGTGCAAATACTCCCACTATTTAGCAAACATAAAAGATGAATAATAATGTAACTTACATTTAAAAAATAAGGAAATAATAAACACAAAGGTATTCTAAGTAAGAATGCCATATCTGAGTAAAATGGTTATAGATAAGTAGAAACAAATAAATGAAAACTCATGTGACTGTCACTGATGGAGAATTTTAAAGAGCAACAGTTGATAGGAACACAGGTTGGGAGGAGAGAAGAGGAAGGGGATGAGGAGGAGCATGTGTTGGAGGATAGAATCATTTTAGTTTATTTATAAATTATGCATGAAAAATCTTGTTCTTTTTTATGTTATACCAAAGAAAGAAACTATTTAATGACAAAATTGTCGGATTGCAATCTAAGTACCTATTAGTGGTCATAACATTGTTTCATGGAGCTGTAGTCAGTCTGTATGTATTGGTAGAAGAAGAAACTTGTGTGATTAATTCCTTCTCTTTAGCACATATTTCAGTGAGAAAATACCAGTAAAAGCTCTTTTAATTTGAACAAAACTAAAAACTAGCTTGTAGCAGAAGATACTTTTCTCATAGAAACTAATTTATGCAGTGGTGGAAAAGCCATGACATTTTCCTATTTCTTCAAGTCCAACTTCAAGAAGATTTTTTAAAATTTCCATTTATCATATTTCTTTGTGAAAGCTATTTTCTCATTTTTTTGATAAACTCAGAGTCACCCAAACTTGTTCCACCAAGGAAATCTAAAGTTTATTCAGAATTATCATTTTAATAGTTAAGATAATTTTTCAATTCCAATTCTTGACAATGGACTAAAATTTATTGAATGAATTTATTTCTGATCTAGCCACAAAATCATTTCAATGCATTTTCTACAGTCTTTCTTTATGGTCTATCCTATTTGCTTTATTGAAATTGTTTAACTGTTTAATAAGAATGACCTTGCCTAAAGTAGAAATGCGGCATTTGTTGGCAATCAAATATAAATAAATTACTAAACAAGTAATAGGCAACATTACTCACTCCTTTTAATTCTAAATCCTTATATTTGAAGGCTTTATTTTCTACAAACATATTAAAAATATTTTCTCTTTATCCCCAATTCTAAAGCTTCCATACACATACACACAACAAGAATATTTACAAATATGATATCCGAATGCTACTTCAAAGCTCTTAAAAACAACCAAAGCTCAGAAAGGAACAAGAAGTTATTATTCAATAGAGAGGGAACAAATTACATAATTAGCCCTACAAAAGATTTCAGCTTTTAATAGGCAACTATATTTTAAGCTATTATTTGTCAACTATTAAAACTTTGACTTTTGGCTGAATGAGTGGAAGGAAGAGGAGAGTTCAGCCAAATAAAACGTCTAGGCACTGCAGCTCTGAGAACTCAAGGGCACGTACACACACAGAGAAATGACCAGGGGTTTAACAGAGAGCAATTACCTGCATTAAAAAAATGCCTTTGTTAAGGCTGAAAATAGAAAGCCGGCACTCCTATTTTCTAGTTTGTGGTAAGTGATAGGGAAAGACATGAATGTTCTACTAAATTATTCCACTTCCTTTAGGTAGCCCATTGTAAACATAACATCAAGTTTCAGACATTAATATTTATCTATGTCCTGGAAATCTGGGAAAAATATTTCTTGAAAAAAAAGTGGTGTTCTAAGTAAAAGGTTTATAATTTTTATCTATCTTTTAAATTTTTTTTCTAGAACAAATCCTAAATATAAATTGCATATATATGTGTGTATATGTCTATCTATCTATCTATCTATCTATCTTGGACATCCTACTAAAAAAAATATTTTATGAAAGGACAATAATAAAAATTCAAAGATATAACAGTGTTGACACTTAGCATATACTATATATACTTTATTTTCAATGGCTCTGTGCAGTAATTTATTTAAGTAAATTGTTAATGTACACTTTTATATAATTGCTCAACTCATTAAAGCATTTTATTGTTAAATTCCAGGATCATTCATAAGAATGGTTACAGTAAGCAAGAATGCATGGAGTTTAAAGCAGTAGTTTACAGCAACACATTGCAGTCCATTCTAGCCATTGTGAAAGCCATGTCTACCCTTGGGATTGATTATGTGAATCCCAGAAGTCCAGTAAGTATGCAAATAATGACAAAAAATAGTCATATGATGTGACCTGAGAAATTAGCATTTTCATCCTAATATGTATCCAAAATTTAAGAAGATGGAATAACAATTTTTCAAACATATACTCTATAAGATTTCTCAGTTCCTCTAAAGAAACATCATTTCTTCCTATGCACAGTAAGCTTATTAAATATTTTTCTTTGATAAAAACTAATATTCTAATAAAATTATGCTTATGATTGCAAAAGTCAAAAGGGTTTATTGAATAAAATCCAATCTTTAATACCTATACATTATTTTAGTTCAATTTTAATTAATTTATAGAAAAATTTAAAAATGTTTATTAGTAACAACATGATTGGTAATGTTCATTGAAAATTACAAAGAATATGTTACAACAGGAAAGTGTTTATTTGAGGCCAGCTAAATTATACTGTAGGACCCCCCAAAATTACACATTGTCATATGGATTGACATTCAAAGAAAATCTGATAGAAAACTTAACAAACTCTGTTAGTTATTAGTTGGACAAGTTACTTAATCTCTCTCTATTTAAGTTTCTTCATAAACAAATGTTAATGCTTTTCTCATTAAATTAGAAGGATCATTAAAGGAAAAAGAAAATCTAAAAATAATTTGTGGTATATATGACTTAGTAAAATATATTTGTGCTTAGAGAAGAAAATTCTGATGTTGGAAAAATCTTGACAAAGAATCTGCTATTTCAGTATGGTAGTCCAGTTGAATGTGAAGCTCTGTATATCCTTATTTAAAGAAAGAAACACTAAGACAGGATAGAGAAGAACTAATTATTTTGGTTTTGGAACTCTGTGTGTGTGTGTGTGTGTGTGTGTGTGTGTGTGTAAATTCCATGAGCTATTACCATACATGAACAACTGCAAATGTGCATTTGAAGCCTCAAAGTACCATTTTGTCTGGAGAACTAATCTAGGTGGTATTGTAATAGTGTTATTCAATGTCCTATTATTTACTTGAAGTAGGGGGATAGAATGGCATAGTTAAGTGCTTAGACTGATTAAAGAAGGTTATTACGGAGAAGGGAGCCTAGTGATTAAAAAAGAAAACTCCAGCAATTTTCAGTTACTTGGTAGGAATTGAAACTTCAGAGGAGAGGATGGAATCACAACAGGAAAATCAGAGGGCTATGGAATCACAGAATTAAGACTAGTGCTCTCTATATATACCTACCTACCTACATACATATACATATTTGTGTATATTAATAGATATGTGTGTATCTATATATATGTATGTATATATTAACTCAGGGACTTAAGCTTGCTGAGCAGATGCTCTGCTCTATCACTGACTCATGCCTCCAGTCTTTTCATACATTGGTTATTTTTTTACATAAAGTCTTACTTTCTACCAGGACATATGCCCAGCTTCTCCTGTGGATAGAATCCCAGTGACTTTAATTTCTCACTTGACCTAGAACTTACCTCCTCCCAATTTTAGCTCCCTGCATAGCTTGGGATGGCAGGCACACACCCATGAGCCCAACTATTGGTAGAGAATGTATCTTGTGAACTCTTGCCTAGGCTGGCTTCAAAACTTGAGCCTCCCAACTCAGACCCTTGAGTATCTAGGATGATAACTATGAGGCAGGTTTAATAATGCATACCAATGCATATATACACCATCAAGCTGGGAATAGGTTGGTGTATGTTCTTTATTTGATTCTTGTATATATATTTTTGTATATATATATATATATTTATATATATAAAAAATATATATATATATATATTTTGTATATATATATATAAATATATATATATATATATTTGAGTCTTGTATATATATTTTTCTAATTTGGGAGGGGAAGGGAAATAACAAAATACTGAAATAAGGAGACAGGCTGACACATTGTAACAATAAGAGGTACAAAACACTATGTTGAAAACGAACTTGGGGGGGAGGGAGGAGTTGTGGAGATGAGGAGGGAGGAGATGGTGGGGGAAAAAATCAAAGGAGGAGGTAACAATGCTCAATAGGAAATATACTCATTACCTTACTCATGTAACTGTAACACCTCTGTACAGTATCTTTACAATAAAAATATATATTAAAGATTCAAATAGTATTAATAGGCCAACCTTTACAAAATGACAACTTTATAACAAGAACTTCCTGAGAACTTGCTTGGAGGATCTAGCACTGAAGTGCAGGTACTACTATACCTCTGACTAAAGAACGAGCCACCTCTGATGGGAAAGTTGTCAGGCAATTCATGCCTGGGGAGCAATGGGGTGATAAAGCCCTGTCATCCTCACATCTTGTTGATAGGAATTCTTTTTTTTTGGGGGGGGGGGGGGGTCCGGGCGTGTGGCCTGAACTCTGGGCCTGGGCACTGTCCCTCAGCTCTTCAGCTCAAGGCTAGCGCCCTACCACTTGAGCCACAGCGCCACTTCCGGCTTTTTTCTAGGAAGCGAACCCAGGGCCTCAGGCATGCAAGGCAAGCACTCTACCACTGAGCCACCTTCCCAGCCCCAAGAATTCTTTACTATTATTATTTTTTGTCTAGGGGATATATGGATGGGTTACATTTACATAAGTAAGGTAATAAGTACATTTCTTCTCAACTTTGTTATCCCTTCCCACATTTTTCTCCTACTTTCCCTCCCCCAACCCTCTAAGTTGTACAGCTCATTTCTAACATATTGTCTCGTGTATGTCACTGCTGCCTTGGTTTCTCGCCTTGTCCTTTGTCTCACCATTCCTCTTGTTCCCCTTCTCTTCCCTATTTCAAATAAATGTATATACAATACCAGGCAACCAAAATCAAATACAGTGATAACAGGGCATATACCATAGGGGGAAGAACATACAAAAGAAACAAAAAACCACATAGTACATTAAAAAAGCCAACAGGAAAGAAAAACCTCTTGTGTCCATGTCTTGGATATATTTTGTTTAGCATCAGCTATATGGTCATATGTACATAGCTATTGAGATATTCTACTCAAGAGTGTCTCAGGAGTTGATAGGAGTTCCTAACTGCTATATTTTCCTTTTAACAACAGCAGCAAATAATATTTTAGGCTTGACACTTGAAGATTCTAATATTTTGTTTGGAGAGGGATTTTGGCATGGCTGCATTGTCATAGAACCCTGCATGCTTATAATATACAGCCACCAAAGAACAATCTCTCTGGACTTGTTCTATCAAGGCAGCCATTTAAAGAGTGTGTGGCCTGGAGCGACAGAAATCAACCTAATAGGAACATATCGAAGGGATGTTGAAGGAGACCTTACCATCCCTGAAACACTTAAAGTAAAACTCCTGTTACGATACCTGTACAAATAAAGTGTGTTTGGATTTAGAACGGCACATTTTAAGAGAAAGGAAAGTACTTAGTAGTTTGATTTTTAAAAATTCCAAGAAGACACATAACTGGTTCCCTCAGGGAGCAAGCTATGTGAGCAGCTGCTCCCTTGTGTCATTTGTCCTAAAAGGCACTCACTTAGTGGAAGGAGCCAAATAGGTCGCTGCCTGCAAAAGTGACTAGATCACATTTCACCAGATTTGCAGTTCATTCTCACATCTAGCTAATACGACAGAAGGGTTTTAAAATTTTAGTCTGTGTTGGTACAAGAAAATAGGGCCAAGTCTTGATTTGAGACATTGAGTCACTGGGCCAATGTTCATCTGATCAGTTTGGTTTCAACACTGAAACTTGACTGCAAAGAAAGATTGAAATACGATTTTTCATTATTTACCAATGGAATGGCACTCTCCTGTTTTAAATACAGAGTCAAACTGGATAAGATGATTGAATAAACCTTGAGTCAATTTTAGATAATAATCAAATTTTATTAAAACAGCAACAGATTCTCACTGAATATACTTCATTCTGAACACCTTGACATCACACAAAATATATTTGAGTTGAGTCTTCTTCTAATTCTTATTGTATTTATTGGTTTAGCAAATTAACTTGTGGGAGGTATAGATTCCACACATGTTAATGGAGAAACTATAGTGTCTATCTCTTGCTTGTTGTAAGGATCATGTGAGTTATTGCATGCTTCTGAACTGTTGTGATAATATCTATTGGAAGGGTTATTAGGCAGTGGAACCTAATCTTTGACATCTGACAGCCAAGACTTGAGCCCCAAATCCTCATTTGCCTAAGCTATTATCACAATCAATTTAATTACTGTGAAACTCAAATTATTGCCTTAAAATACTTTCATCATGAGAGTTTTGATTGTTAAAACACTAATATAAATTTTGTAAATAGTTTGTTTATTCAGTAAACTATTTCTTTCTCCCTTTATGACGCTAAAGATTATTCTAGGAGAATTTTTTTTATTGTTCAATAAAAAATTTTCTTTTTTTTTTAAATTTAATTTTTTTTTGTGAACATACTGTACAGAGGGGTTACAATTACATGGGCAGGATAATGCGTACATTTCTTATCAAGCATTGCTTTTCTATTCTTTTCTTTTTGTTTCTTAAACAGTCTACATTACTGCCCTATTAATGTACTTGAGAGGTCAGGAATGAGCAGTTAGATAGTCACAAATTTTATGGGACTGTAAATATCTACTGTTACTTACCTATATGATCTATATAGAAAGGCTGGGAGCTCCAGTGGTGCAACTGATTAGTGCGTGGTACTTATATAGAAAGACGTAATACCAACTAATCTTATATATGTATTTTTAAATGTAATATTGTAAGGTGAATGTATTGCCTGGACTTTTTGTTTTCCTTTAAAAACTATAACTATGACAAAACTGAAAAATATGAAAATGCCAGTTAAGAACTCTGAGTTCACATTGTACCAAACCAAGTTACTGTTATCCTTTTTGATATCATCTTCAAAAGCCCATCTTACCTATTAAAATCTCCTAATTTCTTTTTCTTTTTCCAGTCTTGGGCTTGAACTCAGGGCCTAGGCATTGTTCCTGAACTCTTCTTTGCTCAAGGTTAGAGCTCTCCCACTTGAGCTGCAGTGCTACATCCAGCCTTCTCTGAGTAGGTTATTGGAGATCAGAGTCTCATGGACTTTACTGCCCCAGCTGGCTTCCAACTTCAATCCTCAGATCTCAGACTCCTAGGTACTAGTTAGGATTAGAGGCTAGAGCCATAGGTGCCTGGCTTCTAGCTTCTTTAAAGAACTTTTCCAGGCAGCAGTGAGCTTTTCCAAGGAACTTTTGTAGTACCCAATTTAATACATTTTGGAAACATAAACAAGTGAAATTATTAGCAAAAGGAGTAAGATTTTTAATAAAAATGTCAAACTAAAATATTGTATTTTTGTTCTCACCAAAAAACATCATGCTAGGAAGACCAACAACATCTTTTTGCCATGGCAAGTACACTGGAAGATGGTGACATGACACCACAACTGGCTGAGGTAATAAAACGACTGTGGAAAGATCCAGGAATCCAGGCCTGCTTTGAAAGGGCATCAGAATACCAGCTCAATGACTCAGCAGCTTAGTAAGTGAATCCATGTGCACAGGCATTGATTTCAGACGAGGCTTTTACAGTTTTATAACTCTGCATATTATGTACTTTAAACACAGGTTAGGAAAGTAAATCACTTTGCATATTAATTATAGAAACTAAAAAGCATTTGAAGAGAAATAAGAAGAAACAAAGTGTCATAAATGAGATGTAGAAAAATTTATGGTGAAATTATATAGTCATAAAACTACTTGTCTGGAAAAAAAGTATCATTTTTTCCTAATGAAAAGGTGTTAATGATTATCCACAAGTTACACATTAATGATTAATACACAGTATAGATACGCACAATGAGGTTTGGGGCTATTTTAATCAATATCACCTGTGTTGTTACTGAAATTATCCTCCAGAATAATGTTATTAGTGATGTATTCTTTAGCACAGTAGCTTGATAAATGAAGTACAAAATGCTAGAAGAAAGTAATCTATTGATTTCATAAACATTCGTATATTTTGAAATACTTTTGGTGTCACATGGATGATGATAGAATTTCCACAGCTAATATTATCTAATATTATCTATCTAATATTATCCATTAGCCAAAAGGAATGTAGAAGATGTAGAAGATTCATCAGTAATATTTTCAATATTTTTAGTTTTAGTTTTTAGTTTTTTTTTTTTTTTTTTTTTTGCTGGTCCTGGGGCTTGAACCCTGGGTCTGGGTTCTATTTCTGAGCTTCTTTAGCTCAAGGCTAATGTTCCCCACTTGAGCTACTTGAGCTTCACTTCCAGTTTTTTGTGTAGTTTACTAGAAGTATGAGTTTCATGGACTTTCCTGCCCAGGCTGGCTTCAACTTTTGATCCTCAGATTTTAGCCTCCTGAGTAACTAGGATTACAAGTGTGAGCCACCAGAGCCAGGCAAAATTTCATTATTAATATCACAATTTCCTTTTAACAGGTAGTTCTTAACCTATGCCACCATTTTATATATATGCAAGAATGTATGCATAAGATATCTAATTATCCACTTCGCATTTCTCTCTGTGCATACAAAATGTATAAAACGCATTAAATATTCCTTTACAGAGGCCTTAGAAAGAACAAGCTAACAACACATCATTCAAAAACAATATTAAAGGAATATAAAAGTGAAAGAAAATATCAGATTTAATCGTGGTAGACAAAGAAATTGCTATATAACTTCAGTGGTGGGGAGCATTCTCTAAAGAGTCATTGTTATCTTATACCCCAAATTCCAAAAGACACATTGCTTTGACGGGTAATGCTGCCTGTAGTTCTCTGAGGAGACAGAGGCCTAGTGACATTTGGAGATAACATAAACTTGATAACTGCTTTTCACAGTGCCTCAGTACCTGCCAGGCTTAAACAGTAAAAGTCTCTGCTGTGTAGTAAAACATTACTTGCAAATGTTACTCCTTGGTAATGGAAACCACAATGTGTTTAAGGACACTGGATAGAATATCTTACAAAATATGGCTTAGTAAAGTTCTACACTGAGAGTGAGAAAAAGCCATATACACAAGGATGATGAACTATACTTAATATATTTAATTGAGAGCACATGGTATTAATACTATTCCCCCTTGGAATCATGATAGCTAGTATATTGAAAGAAATATAATTATGTTCTCGTTTATTGTGTTTATGAAATTATTTGTGCTTCAGTAGTAAAATACTTGTTGGCAACTTATTTGCCACTCATATAATTAGGTTAGTGAAATGACATTATTTTTTAAGTCGGTCGTGGGGCTTGAACTCTGGGCCTGGGCGCTGTCCCTCAGCTCTTCAGCTCAAGGCGTGTGCTCTACAGCTTGAGCCACAGCGCCACTTCCGTGAAATGACATTTTATCACACTTTTTAAAGTGATTCTTTGGTTTAAATACTTAACATATGTCTTTGTTCCCAACTATCAATCTAATTAAGAGCATTTATGTTTTCTTCAAGTTAGATACGATTAAACTACGTTGATTTGTATTGGTTTTATGGATGTTGTCCATATTGTAACAATTTTTGATTTCACAAATTAAAATAAAACAACAAGGAAAATGGGAAAAGTATTTTCTATGTCTCAGAAATACTTTATATATAAGCCCAAAGCTAGAAATGTGAAATGTGTTTTTTTTTCTATTCTAAAATGTTCTTAAGGGTAAGTAAAATAAAAGATTGTTAAAAATGAATTGAAAAATAAATAGCCATTTCTGTCTTCCAAAATACTTTATTCAATTTTCATTGTAAACTTTAATATATAACAGATTCAATGTATAATGAGATTACTATACTGCATGTTTAATTCATATGTTCTAAGTAGATCAAGATTGCTCGCATTTCTTTCCTTTATGTATGTACGTATATATGTGTGTGTGTGCGTTTGCATGCATGTGCAAATAAGGTATTAGATCTCAAATCTAGACATTCTTTTTCCTGAGACTAACAAAGGGAAGAATGTAATTAGAGTAAAAGAAAGCGTGGGACTTGCAATATGGCATTCTCACCAGTTCCTCAAAAAAAGAAAGGAAGGAAGAAAGAAAGAAAGGAAGGAAGGAAGGAAGGAAGGAAGGAAGGAAGGAAGGAAGGAAAAGAGAGAGAAAGAAAAGAACAAAGAGACCTGACAATAGTAAGCAAGAAAGAGAGTTGTTAAGATTGCATTTTTAGTGATTGGGGCCAGTTAGTGTGCTCTGCAATCCCACATGCTTGAGGAATTAACATATCTTACCAGGAAAAAAAATGTTTTACATGATGAAAGAAGAATCAAATTTTTTTAGGGATTTGGGGCAAATATACTAAGGGCCTATTTGATCTAAGCTTTACATACATGCTTGAACACCCAAATCCCATATTTGCTTATTAAAATACACATTTTAAATGCAAAATTGGCAGTCTGCTAATGTCTCGGCTTTGTCTAAAATCATTTGCACATGCAAACATAAAGGCACAAAAATATATATTTACCAAGTAATGGTTTAACTATCATTAGAATAAGTTTCTGTTATGGTAGGTTTGTTTATTTAAAGTTTACCAAGGCTGAAGTGACCAACCAATAATAAACTATCACAGATGGAGATTAATCAATAGAACATTCACACAGACTTTTACTTCTCCAGATAAAATGTAGGTTTCAAACATTGGTAAAAGTTAACAACATATTGTTGATATATTTATATCTTGACTTATCACTCAACTTTTGTTAGCTTGTATGAGTGATACGGAGAAGGATTTCATTCTTACATTTTCACACACATTGACAAAACAATTTGTCCAAACACCCCTAAATAAACCCAACTTCATAACAATTTCTAATATTCAGTGGAATGCTGCCTGTCAATTTCCTTCTCAATGAAATTTATGGTTACGTTTTTCCCCTTTCATTAAGCCCTATCGATAATCTTGGTTAAAGTATTAGACAAATCTGTCAGCAAATATTCCAGTAAGAGCTTGAACTTGAGACATGGCTTATGTTATGAAGCACCTAACTGGTAAGCACAAAATCTTAAATTCAAACGTTAGTACCATCAACACCAAACTCAAAGCATTATTGAGTTATTATTACTTGTATGCAAAAATTTCATAGAAACAGCCACAGTACTAATGGCCCTAATTAGGACTTTCAAAAAACAAACAAACAAAAAGCAGCAAAGCACTTAGTTACAATATATAGACTTATTTGGTTTCAGGGATGAAAAATTTGAGAGTAGTTTCCTTCTTCTAATCCTAATGCATACATAAACTGTAGACCTTAATCAAACCTATCCCGGCCCATCATCACTACTAACTGGACACTGTTGGGTACAGAAGACATAGTATTGAGTTTAAACAGAGTAGAGACTCAGATTAAAAACGCCCACTGAACTAGTGGAAATGAAAGGAGTAGGCCCTAGGGGCAAATATAAATTCAGCTTCCTGTCCCCAAAAGTATAGAAGCAGTCATAGGTCAGCAATTTCATGAGTTAGTTTGAATGTGGACCAGCATGAAAGTCACATATTCATTCTTTCTTTCTTTCTTTCTTTCTTTCTTTTTTCTTTCTTTCTTTCTTTCTTCCTTCCTTCCTTCCATCTTTCTTTCTTTCTTTCTTTCTTTCTTTCTTTCTTTCTTTCTTTCTTTCTTTCTTTCTTTCTTTCTTTCTTTCTTTCTTCTTCTTATTTTAATGTGAAAATACCATACAGAGGGATTACAATTACATGGGAAAGATGAGTACATTTCTTATCAAGCATTGTTGCCTCCTCCTTTGTTTCCCCTTCCCATCTCCCCCTCCCCCACCCCAAGTTGATGTTAGGTGAAATGAACCCCAAGATAAGTATTGAAATGTTTTTCCTTTCATGCGACGGTTTCTAACATATTTATAAAACGATTTCTTTGTTGCTTTGTATGTCCCTCCCCCACGGTATAATCCCTGCTCTCACATATACTTCTTTTACTAAGCTGTTTAGAATTCATTAGGGCAATTGCTGTAAAAAGGTGAATTCTAAACTAGGAATCTCATGCAAAATATCACAAACAACCTTCAAATAACAACACTAAAACCAATCACTTGTAAAAATCCTCTGTGCCTATTGGCAGGGAATCATGATGCACACTGATCATCCAAGTGAGAGATCTAGGTGGGGGAATCATAATTCAGGCCAGACTAAACAAAACATTGAAACTCCTATCTGAAAATTAACTAAAAGCAAAAAGGTGCTGGAGACACCATTCAAGTGGCTGAATGCCTGCGTAGCAAGCCTGAGGCCCTGAGCTTGATCCTCACTCAGTACTACCAATAATAAATGCCTAGAAGAATAAAGGGCCCAAATACAAACCACAGAATATTGAGGCAAGTCTACGACGTTATTACAAGTGTTACAATGCTTGCCTCAAAATAGACAGACATATTTAAAAGGCCTTGAAAAAGCAATTTCCTTTCATCCTCCCATCTTCACATCAGCAGAATTATCATACATACTTCATAAAGTGTAGGTTGACCAGTGAGGAGCTGGCTTCTTTGAGCAGAGGACCCAGATGTTAAGCTTTGCCACACCCCAGATCTGCAGCCCTATATCATCCTACCTGGTAATCTGATAGGCAGCACACTGAAGTTAATTATTTTTAATGGACTCTAAACTAAAGTTGACTTATGTTGATTCCTGGTGTGTCATGAAGTATATAAATATTTGCTAACAATTCTATTTCTGTTTTCATTTTTATTAGCTACCTTAATGATTTAGATAGAATAACAGCTGGTGAGTATGTGCCAAATGAGCAAGATGTTCTACATTCTCGAGTGAAAACAACAGGAATCATTGAAACGCAATTCTCCTTCAAAGATTTGAACTTCAGGTATGAAAAAATACAGCTCTGAAGGATGGAGAGAATGTGCATTAGGCTCAGTGTTTCTTTCTGAGAAGTTCTATGCCAGGGTCAGTTACAGTGAATCTGGACTTGCTGATTTCTCAAAGCACCTTTATTCCTGCTGTCCACACCCACTGCTTGTCCTGAGTCTCATTCAGAGTTTCACCCTTCTTCTCAGCCTGCAGTGATTTGGTCATAACTGGATGGGAGTGAGGTTCTCTTTTCCTCATATTTAAAACTGACAAAATTGCCTTTTAGATTTTTTAAAAAAGAAATATATTTAAATAACATTTAAAGCCACAGGTGGCAGAGATCCTATATCCCTTGCCTCTTCCTTCTCATTGGCTAGAAATATTTCTACTAAATCTGTCGCCTTAGCTTAAAATGCAAATAATTAAAGAGAATTATTTGAATGCTATGTTATTTACTAGAAAAACAAACCATATTTTATAAGTAGGTTTTGGATATGAAAATGAACCATTATTTTATGGCTATCACATTATCAAACCCTTCCTAGAAATTGTACCTCAAAAATCACTCTGACTTAATCAAGAATAGAAATTAATAATATAGTGTTAGAATGTATTACTGGATGAGTAACACCTTTTTCTTTCCTGTTTTTTTCATGAGACAAGTCAAAAATTTATTTACAGTTATATTAAGCTTAACATCTTTTTTCTATGGAAAATGAGATGAATATTAAAATAATACTTGGTCATATTTGTATACTTTACAAATAAAAAATCAATAAAATATAATTAATACAGTCCTTTATGCACCCAATAATTTTAAAGAATATAAAAATTAGAGAAAAGCTGATATGAATCATTTATAGTCATTCATGAAGTAAAATGAATGACTAGTAATTGGTGTCACAATTTTTTAATCGGGATAAAGCTTTTGAAATATTGATGGAAACTGGTTAGCTGTAACATCTATTTATATAGACAAGATTATCTTCAATGAATATGAAAGTCAAGCATTCAAAATTCACAGTAAATTTCAGGCCCACAAATAGTTTTCTGGAAGAATAGCCAAAGAAAAAATATGGGCAGAAAGGGAAGATGCTAAAATCGGCATTCTCTCTTGGTCCACAGTGGTGTAGTGTCTCTTTGTCAACAAATTTCTTCAGATTGTTAAACTTTGTTCATATGGTGAAATTTCCTTTGGGAACCCAGGTCCCATTGCTTCTCCCTTCTATTGTAGCCTTCACAATGCATTTTTGACACATTCCCTTTATGATCTTACTCCTTTTACCCCTCTCCATGTTTCTGAGAGAAATACAGAGAAGGTCCTATGGGTCTTGAGGCTAGTCAATCCAAAATTCCAATCCCATACCTTCCAATAAATAGCACCGTGGTAAAGAACACATACTTAGCAAGTTTGCCATGAAGATTTTATCAAATGAAGTCCCAGCAGTATGTGATATTACTTCATGCATCTTATCTCACAAGAAACAGTGGACTTTTCTGAGTTCTGATAATCTGGAAGCAGCTACACAACAACGTCACCTATGGAATATTTGAAAGCCCACAATCCTGGTTGCTGCCCCTATTACTGAGTAACTTCTCAGGAATGCTTACTTGGAATTACAGCCAATTTACAGCTTGGGCCTTGGTACTTGCTATAGACCTTGCCTAGAGTATCCTACCTCCCAAAGACTGTCTCCTTTTTATCATGGAGATCTCAAATCAGTTGCCTCTTCTTGGAATCTTGTATGCTGTTTACCATCCCTTCATATCTCTTCCACTGTTACCCAGCAACAGTGCAGTGCCAAATGTCTAACAGGTTTTCTGGGAAAATGGAGTGAAAGAACAAGTATGGGCATCAGTTAGTTATGGGCATCAGTTTGTAGCCCTTGATGATTTCTATGGTGTATATACCCCACCACTGATAATTTCAACATATAGTACTAAATGCAAAGTTGGGAACAACAACTATTCTTGTCAGAACAACATCCATTCCATCATTTATACAACACACTATCCCTTCGCCTTATATATGAGATTGTTTTGTGCTTTATTCATTTCTTCTTTTGTTTCTGTTTCTTCCACATATATGCTGAATCTGAGAGGCCAAGGGGGCATGTCTCTTAAGGCTTTACTCAGCAGTTACGAAGAGGAAAACATTGCGTAATCAGTTTTTGCTGAATGAATGACCATATCAAGCCCTCTGTGTTCCATACCTTCATGGAGTATGATAAGCTTGGTATAGTTACATTATGTAAGATAAAGGTGGAAGAAATGGAGGTTAAAATGAGTTGGAAGTTTTGCCATGTTCTTACATTGCACTGCAGGTCTTAAGATCAATGTGTACATCTTTCTGTCTTCCAAACCCATATTCTTTACACTGATAGGTTAGCAGATAATTTTAGGAGAAGTCATTGTTTTACTATAGAGCAAATATTCCTTCCAAGGTTGTTGGTCATTTGTGATTCTTATCAGTGAGAAGTGGAAGAGAAGACAAAATAACAGCCTCCAACATAAAATAAAAATATTTTTAATTTTTTCCTTAAGGAATGATTAGTCATTGTAAACCATTTTTAAAGTTTAGTCTCAACAACTGAATCATGTTAATCATTTAGTAAATTCTCACAGTTGAATCGTCTCTCTTTTAGGTGCTAAAGAATTGTGCAAATGTGTGTAGACTTTGATAGTAGAAATTTTTATACTTCGAAATATGAAATGCAAAAATAATGAGCCTAACAACCTCATTTCAGCCGTTTCCCAGATGTTAAACTATATTGCATTAGCACTGATGTATTCATATAGTATAAATCATCCTGTGACTATTTAAAACTGAAGACTTATTTGCATATTAAATTACAGAATACTAGAATTTTAAATAGGAACACCAAAGTGGAAAATTCTCTCCTGATGTAGCTCATCATCTCCAGTGTATCATTCCATTGAATGAAAATTACCTTAGGATTCTTATCAAACTAAAACTCCAACTGTCAAACTGATAAAACAAATTATAGCATTCTTATCAAACCATAGCTCCACCTGTCAAAATGATAAATTGTTTTTAGAAATGTTTAAAGTACTATGTAAGTGGAAAGTGAAATGAAAATAAAAGCCTTTTTTATTAAAGAACAATTCCTCAGAGCAAATAACTCAGAAATATATCTACAAGGATTTGTCAAAGTAACTTTTCCTTAAATGTTTCATATTAAAAGACAGAAATGAATGTACTTTAAATTATTTAGGAGTGAAAAACCAAAGGTCAGCCCTTACTACAACAAAGACCTTCCAATTTTGTAAATTTAGCATGACTGGTTTCAAGAATGTTTGAGCAGCATATCTGTGATATGAAATAAATGAAAGTTTTCTTGAAATATGAAATTGAATTATCTTTACTACATTAATTTGTGCTTAGAAAAAGGCTGGTTAGATCTACCCAGTTGCTATCTCTCTTGTTAGATGTTATTCTCTTTCAGATTCTTTTAGAATAATAATGCTTGTATACAATATAGTTATTCTAGGTTTGGTTATGATTATATTATGTATATTGTCATGATATTTTTATGAACAGAATAGTTCAGAGAATTACCTAGTAGTATTTAATTGCAAATTTATGCATACAAATATTCAGTATAAAGTAGGTAAGGGTAAAATAATATTAACAATTATGGAGATTTAAAGACACTAGATCCTTTGTGGTTATAAATCTTCATGATTCATATTAAAATCCTAAGTCTTTAAGGGATTAGACCTCTATTAGTATTGTAGGTTTCTATAAGTAGCTATTCTTCAATGTTTTTATAACTGGGCACAAGGGAATGATTTAATTAGGCACTGTGACTGGACTATGTAGGAATGACTCAGGTCTACCAGTTGGTCCTCTCCTTTGTAGCCACCTTAACAAATTATTGCAACTCTGATGCAGTTTAACATCTTGAATAAATCTTATCAAAAGAACAGTATGAAGGAAATCGGTAGATCATGTATTCTTTTATATGTGGTTAAATACATAGAAAATTTTAGAAATGGTGGTTTTTCGGATGGTCACACATAGGTTAAGCAAAGATATCTGACAGAAGCTAGCTGGAAATCACTGTTGACTTGTAGCTATCACAATGATTGTGGAGCAGTTATAATAGACATATTATTTCATAATAATCCCTTCTAGTATAAAGTATAAGAAAGCTGCTCTCAAATAGCCATAAAACCCATAAAAACTCAACAGCTTTCCAACTGCTTATACTACTATAAACATAACTGTTTAGTCTTCTATTTAATCTAAGGTCCTATAACTAATAGCTTGTCCCATTTTAATATCATGGGTAATTTAGCCTATAATCAATATTCTGCTATCACTTAAAATTCTGGCCTATATTTTTAGCTATATCATATTCTTTCATTGAAAATTAATATTTTGCTTCCAAAGTCAAAATTTGTTAGTTTATATAACAGATATAAGTAAAATTTACTTCCCTTCTCCCCCCCAAAAATTAATAAATAAAACAAAAAAACATCTCAAATCTTTATTTAGAGAATATTCAGGGATGTCTTGTGTTATCAGTAATTAACCTTTATATTTGGTTACTATAAGGATTCAGGCAGCAAATATATATTCTCTTCAGATTTTATTTTTATTGTTCACATAACGATAATGATTTTATAAGAATGCTTCTACAATCATATATAGAAGTAAGCACTCCACTTTTGAAGTCTGAATATTGTTTTTTTATAGTTCGTAGAAATTTACATAAAGTAGGCCTAAATTCAAATTGAGAGGAAAAACTGAAACTGTCATAATATATAGATAGATAGATAGATAGACATAGACATTATATCAAGATGTACCTATGTATCTACATATATGTATATATATATCAATATATGTACATATATAAAACTTTCTAATTTCACTTTGTAAATGAAAAATTAATTACTATACACTCTTCCATATAAAAAATAAATTACTTCATCTATCTTTTCCATCTCACTTTTCTTAGGAATAACATGATTTCTAGGAACATCAACAGGGAAACAAATGTCTGGCTCTTGCTCTCATTTGGCAATGGGCCTTTAAGCTCACTAATAGCAAATGACATTAGCAAAATGTTCTGTGTTCCCTGGACCTTTGTCTCTTACATCACTCTGTACAAAACAATATGTCGCTTATAAGGTTAGACATAAATGAGGAAATTGTAACCATTCAGGCTAGGATAGAGTTTCAGAAGCCATTTTATCAGTCTGAGTAAAGACTGAGTCATCTTTGCTCTAGAAAGAAAGCTAAGCTCATTAAGATATTTTATTGGATACCATAATTATACTGATAGAAAATGAGTCCAAGGGTTATATTTGTGAGCTGCATGCCTTATTTACTGTGAATGTTCAAACAAACCACTTAACTTCTCAATGACTCGGTTTCTTCATCTGTAAAGTGGGTAGAGTAGTATTTTCCCATATGGCACAAAGAAGTATTATCAGGACAAAAGTAAGCTGAAATCCAGAAGCTCTATCCTATCTTCATTAAAAGAGAAAAAAAGAGGTTTACATTTTTGCCCACCAAGATTTTACATCCCACAGAAAAACTGCACATCCTGAAAATAAAGGGTAGACTTTTAGTAAAGATAATTTCAGTCCACTGATGAAGGTTTTGGAGCTAATGATAAGCACTGTTACTGGTTGAATCCTCTGGTCTAAGTACATAGATTTATTTATCAGGAGCCAGTGACACACAATATAACAATGGTGTTCAGAGAACCAGTTAGTGTCTAGAACATAACAATCTCAAAAAATGTTAACTGAGTAAAGAAGGCTTGAATGAGTTGCTTATGAGCTCATTTGAGCAATAAGAAAAATGATTGCATCCACTTTCAAAATTCATAGTGAAATTTAAATGAAGTTTAAATGAAGTGTAATGCTTATAGTCCTAGAAAATAGTGAAGTCATAAAGTATTAAGATCAATCTACTGTAATTAGTAATATGAGAATTTAAAGGAGAAATGAGTGATGACCTGAATTTTTCCTTTTGCCTCACATAAGACAGTTTAGGTAAGTTAAGGTATTTTGAATAAACTAAAAAAAAATAAAATACAATAAAATACAAAGAAGACTGATTTCATAGAAAATTGTGCTCTTACTAAAAATATAAATGTCAAATATGCATATTTTGTCCTTGTTTTCTTAAAAATGCTAACTGGTAGGTATAAAGTAAATTTGTGATAAATTTCAATTTCTGACCCTTTCTTTTAGGTTATAAGTCTGAAACTGCAGTTTAAAATTTGCATTTAAGTTAACCAATTGAAATGTAACTATTGAACTCTTAGAAATATTATGAGCATATTGTCTTAATTTACTATTAACCAGCATAATTCTGCATTGGTACTGCAAAATGAAAATTATTGAGACCAAGAGATCTCTGGAAGAAAAGATTTATTAAACCAAAAACTATCCAAATATTATCCACAAAGAAAAGACCAGCCTTGGAATAAATTCTCTAAGTCACCACTACCATGACTAGTTGGAGAAGTATTCACCAGATCTAAGCCAAAGTATTTCATAATAGAACTTCTGTAGAAAACTATTGTTATTAAGGGTTGAAAGTTGACAAAGAAACACTCATATAAGGAAAAAACAAATCTGTGTCCCTATGCTTGTGCAAAATTCTTGAGACAGAAAGATATTACATTTACAGTAAGAACTAAAAAAAAAATCAGACTTTTGGTTAGACTACATTGAAGAAAAGATAATGAAAGAAAATGAGCATAGCAAGGTAGGGAGGAATCAGAACAATAGCAGTCATATGAGTGATCACGAATCTGACAGGAAAGTGCCATAATAAGGAATTCATAAAATTCATTTAAACATTACATTAAAAACATTAAAACAGAAGTCTAGGTGCCCTAAGAATGTATTTTGTGTCTGTAATATTAAACAGAGAAAAGAGGATGCTTTTACTCTGGATCTAGAGATACTGGTGTTGAGAGAGAAAAGTTGGAAAGATATGAATGATTTAAGATTGCATTTGGGGTTAGTAGTATCTGGGAAAAAGGGAAAGGAAGGGATTGATAATAACTCTAAGAAACCTATTGATTACTTTTACAACAATGGTTACATTCACCTAATTACAAAAACTAGGCCAACAACAAGTTATCAAACATCCCTTGTGAGTTTTGGTGATCTCCAGGCTTACTTCAATCCTCCTGAGTGTCAAGGTTTGTTTGTATATCACAGTATTTCTCTATATAATATTATAACCATCTGCTTACTGGCCAATAAGTTCTTTGATGAGGATAGTGATTGTATCTTTCAATTCACTCTAAGAAGATCTTTTATTGTGTGTAGTATGTAGAGTACAAACAGTAATAATTTGAATAAACAAATCAATGTAGGATGATAGATCAGGCAATAAACAGGTTGTTATGACAGGAGGAGCTTCTAGTCTTCTTTTAGTTTCCTACAATAAATGTTAGTACAGATAAGCTTTCATGAAAGTCTCCTAAAGCTAATTTTTAAAAAAAATCAAACTCATTTTAAAAATTTTCCAGTTATACAAAGTCAGAATGGGAACTATTTTTTTTCCTACTACTATTTTTAAATCAAAAAGAGGAGGGGATGAATTTACGTTTTTTTTCTGTAGTGCTTGAGTTGCAAGGTAATCAAATAAAGTTGATTCAATAATCAACAAAATCAAAAGAATACATTTAAAATATATTGTCACATTGACTTTTTAACTCTATTAACCTTTATATAAATCTTAGAGGATTCATTATTCATTTGATGTTTTTTGAAGAATGTTTGATGTAGGTGGACAGAGATCAGAGAGAAAGAAATGGATTCACTGCTTTGAAGGAGTGACGTGCATTATATTCTGTGCAGCGCTTAGTGCCTATGACATGGTCCTAGTAGAAGATGAAGAAGTGGTAAGTGTGAAAGGTAAACCAGGCCCAGGTCTATACTGTCCAATAGAATTAGCACATTTCCCACCTCACTGAAGGCTTTGCTGAGGTGGATATCATTTTTAGATCACAGTTTAGAATGTTTAACTCTCACACTGCACAATGATCTTAAACACTCTCCTCTTTTATACCTAACAGAACCGGATGCATGAAAGTCTTCACCTGTTTAACAGTATCTGCAATCACAAGTATTTTGCAAGCACCTCCATTGTCCTTTTTCTTAATAAAAAAGATCTCTTCCAAGAGAAGGTAGCCAAGGTACATCTCAGCATCTGCTTTCCAGAATACACTGGTAAGACTTTAGTTATGTAGTAATAAGATGTTTCAAGGCATAAATCTGGATCCAAAAGATAATGAGGAATATAATCAATTTGAGTTGTGCATATAATCCAAACAGATGAGAATATTACAAATACAATTCTTCTCTATCTACATTAAAGTAAACCTCAGTGTACAAACTGGAAAAGAGAGTTACTCCTCTGTGTAATACATCAAAGAAACTGCAAACTGCATTATCACCAACACTGTAATAGAAAGGCAGACTTTATTCTACGCAGGTATTTTTATTGTACATCCTATCAAAAACTTATAATGCTATATAAGATCTCAGTGGCCCTTCAGTATCTGAAGCTTTTCAACTGGATAACATGAATGAATTTGAGAAAAATGGTACTTTTTTTTCTGGTTTCCCAAAATTTCAGTGTCAATCTTGTTAGCCAGTATAGTAGGGTCAAGTTCCATTGAAGGGTTGTTTTACCATGAGAGGAAACTTTCTGTAAATATTTGGATGGTATTTAGATGATCCATTATTAATAAGCAACATTTCAATTTCACTCTTCAAATACATGTGTTAGTCCAATTATATTAAGAGCCTGGCATAGATATGTATGCCACATTATAAAGGCAGATATGCTAGAAAGAAATATTTATGCTAGCTAATACATAAAGGTCTATGATATTTTATTTTGTTATTTATGAATTTATACTTGATTTTAAATAAAAACATAATCATATGCTTATATTAAATTAAATATAGATGCTCTAATATTTGCTAAATGATTCTATACTATTTCAAACTAAATAAAGAGGGTCTACTCATTCACTAAATAGTAACATTGATTTCTTAGAACCATTTTGAGTTTATAAAGAAATAAGTTCCTTTATTTCAATTGTTTGCTCAGGCATTTTTATTATTATTTTATTATTTTCAAGTAGTTGTACAAAGTAGTTGCCATTTAGCAAAGCAGTTTATGAATTCAATGTCTTTTGATGAATGTCACCCCTTTCAACCTTCTCACTCAACCATTCAAAATCACCACTTCCCTTGCTGTTCTTAATTTCATAGCATATACATTGAGTTCTTGATTTCATCCCCCCCCCCCCATTTTCCTTGTTATTTACCTACTCCTACACCCTTGACTACACCTGGACTACTCCTACACCGTACCTACTCCTACAACCAAGTACCTTTTTCCTGGAATTTATATTGCTGAATTTTGAGTTTGTCTTACAATAGTAATACACTAAATTCTCCCTTGTCTTTATTTCAGTTAATGTATTTATATATTGTACACCACCTAATATATTTACTTACATGTTTATAAGCTAATCCTAGCTTCTACAGAGGTAGAAAAAGAATCAACTTTTATCTTCTTGGCCAGACTTACTTCACTTACCCTAATTTTTTCTATAGATATATCATTCTATCTAATGGATGAATAAAATTCTATTATGTGTGTATACAATATTTTCTTGATCAATTTGTCCACTAATGGACATCTGAACTGATTCCATACCTTGGTTGTGGTGCATTATGCAATGAACATAGTTGTGCAGGTGGCTTTGCTTATCCTTGTTTCTATCCTTGTTTGAGCATTTCTTCTTTTTATAACTTTTTAAATTTTTTTTAACCTTTCTATTTTTAATATATATTTTTATTGTAAAGATAGTGTACAGAGAGGTTACAGTTACATGAACAAGTAATGAGTCCATTTCCCATCTAGCATTGCTACCCCCTCCTTTATTTTTACCCTACCATCCCTTTCCTCCCCACTTCCTTAGCTCTTCCCTTTCAACATCGTGTCTTGTACATTTCATTGTTACACTGGGTTATCCTGTATCCTTGTTTAAGCATTTTTTAATTCCCTTCCCCTCCTCAAATTAGAAAAATGTATCTACAAGATGCAGGACAGCAGAATCAAATTACAATGTACTCAAAAATTAAAGAAGTACAAAAAAGTTTGTAGGGGAAGAACAAAGGAGGAGGTAACAATGCTGGATTCATGTAATTTTAACCCCTCTGTACACTATTTTTACAATAAAAACCACAAAAAAAGATGAAAAAAAGTTTTAAAATTTTACATTGAACTTTTTAAAATCCATAGTCTGATCTACCTCACCACAATTAGAATGGCCATTATCAAGAAAACTAACAGTAACAAATGTTTTTGGATATATGGCCCAAAAGAACCTCTTATGCCATTGGTAGGAATGTAAACTTGTTCAAACATTCTGGAAAGCAGTTTGGAGGTTGCTCAAAAAAACTAAAAATAGAGCTTCCTATGACACAGCAATTCCACTCATGTGCATTTATCCAATAGAAAATAAATAAGGCCATACTAAAGCTATCAAAACAACCATGTCCACTGCAGTATTGTTTATCATAGCCAAGATATGGAATCAATCCAGATGCCTCTCAGTGGACAAATGGATTAAGAAAAGGTTGTATCTATACACAATGAAATTATACTCTCCAACCGAAAGAATGATATTTTATCATTGCAAATAGAAAGACTTGGAAAGAATATATTAAGTGAAGTAAGCCAGACCCAAGGAAACATAGGTTGCATCGATTCCATCATATGTGGTGGCTAGAATGTGTCTATAAATCTATAAGTAAATGGGGCTGGGAAGATGGCTCAGTGGAAGAGTGCTTGCCTTGCATTCATGAGGTCCTGAGTTTGATTCTTGAGCACCACATAAGCAGAAAAAGCCGGAAGTGCTACTATAGTCAAGTGGTAGAGTGCTAGTTGAAGAGCTAAGGGGAAGCACCCACCCAGGCCCAGAATTCAGGTCCCAGGGCCAAAAAAAAACAAACTACAAATAAACACACTTGATGGTTAAAAAGTACACTGGGACACGATAATTTAAATAGTTTTCTAGGCATTCAGACAAAGTGAGAACAATGGAGGATATTCTTAGGAGAGGAACACAACCTAAATACCTATGAGCATCTGATCATATAAAATAATATTTAATAAAATGAATTCTAGGAGAAATGTGGTTTTTTCCTTAGTCGTTTTATTTTTGTTTTCTTTTTCTTTTGTTTGTTCATTTTTCTGTCTTTGGGAGGTTGAGGGGGGCACAGAAATGTTGAGACAAAGGGTGCACAAATGCAGCCGTGATACTCACTAGACACTAATTAGAAATGAACTATAAAACTTATGGGTGGAGATGAGAGTGAAAAACTGGGAAAGAGCAAGGGAAGGGATAATATTGTTCAAAAAGAAATGTACTCTTTATCTGGTTTATATACATGTAACCCTTCTGTAATCATCTTTGCAATAACAATAAAAATTCATTGAAAATAAATAAATAAATAAACAAATAAATAAATAAATAAAGCAGAATTCAAGCTAGAAGCTGATGTCTCATGCCTGTAATCCTAACTATTCTTTTTTTGGGGGTGGAGGGAAGGGGCCGGTCGTGGGGCCTGAACTCTGGGCCTGGGCACTGTCCCTCAGCTCTTCAGCTCAAGACTAGCACTCTACCACTTGAGTCTCAGCCTCGCTTCCAGCTTTTTCTGCTTATGTGGTGCTGAGGAATCGAACCAAGGTCCTCAGGCATGCAAGGCAAGCGCTCTACCACTGAGCCACCTTCCCAGCCCTCCTAGCTATTCTTTTTTGTTGTTCTTCATGAGGCTAGAACTTGGGACCCGGCACTGTTCCTCGACTCCTTTTCCTCAAGGAGAGTGCCCAACCACTTTGAGCTACAGAACCACTGTGGCTTTTCTAATGGTCCATTGGAGATAAGAGTCCTGTGCAATTTCCCTGGCTGGCTTTTAATGCAATCTTCAGATCTCAGCCTCCTGAGTAGCTAGTATTACAGGCATGAACCACCTGCCTGGCTAATCCTATGTATTCTAGAGGCTGAGATCTAGGATCACATTTCCAAAGTCAACCCAGGCAGAAAAATTCATGAGACTTTTATCCCCAGTTAACCACCAAAAAGCCAGAAGCAGAGATATTGCTGAAGTAGTAGAGTGCTAGCCTTGTGAAAAATCATTTAGAGACAGCATCTAGGCCCTGAGTACAAGCCCAACACCAGCACAGGCACACACATAAGCACACGCGCGCGTGAGCGTGCACACACACACATACACACAATGCACAGAATTCTTTTCTGCACTCCTCCTCATCCTTCTCATAGTTGTCTTTGTTGTTAAAACCTTTAATTCTGGAATTTTCTGTGACATATTTATTGTTAAACTCATATTGCCACATTATTAACTAAAGTCTATAGTTAAAAAAACAGTTTGTTACTTTCCTTGTGGAATTGTGTTTTGCCAAATTAACATCACTGATCAACTACATTAACTGACTTTCTGTTACTATAATAAAACTCAATAGATAAATCATTTTAGAGGGGGAAAGGTTTATTTTGGCTTAGAGTTTTGCAGTCATTTGGCTCTGCAGCTTTTTGCGTCTATGGTTAGCATATGCAGCAGAGGAAGGGAGCTCATTTTGAGGCATCCAGAAAGCCAACTAGAAAGAGGAATAGCTAACAATCCCCTGGAGAGCACATCCTCAGTGACCAGACAACCCTCTACCAGCTCTCTCTTAAAATTTCCATCTCTACCTTACAATGCCAAGTTGGGCAATAAGCAACACATAGACCTATGAGGGACATTTCAGTTCCAAATTACAGTATTATTTGAGTATTATAAAATAATTTCAGCATTCCCAAATTCTCACACATTCTGCCTTTTTCTACGCTCTCTATCAGTAATTCCCACAAATCACTGCATATCAAACAGGCAGAATTGCATTTAAGTTTCTTCTTGGGCTTTTCTGTGGATGTGATAAGCTCATTTCCTTTTATTCTGAACATGCACAGACCACAGTTTGTTTATCCTGTCACCTATTGAAGAACATATTGGTTGCTGCCAATATTTGGCAATTATGAAAAAGCTGCGATGAACACTCATGTACAGGATTTTCTGTGGACTTCAATTTTTACGTAAATACCTAGGAGTACAATTGCTGCTTTGTGTGCTAAGACTGTACATAACTTTGTGTGAAATAACAAATGCCTTCCAACTAAACCAGTATCTCTACTCCCAACAATGAATGTATTCTCTTGTGAACATTTGGTTTTACTGGAGTTTTTGGTTTTTAGCCATGTTGTGTCATTTTATTTTTATTTTTTATTAATTAATATTTTAATATCTAGGCTTGAGCCAAGGGCCCTTATACATGCAAGGTGAGAAGGTGCTCTAAGACTGAGTCACAGTCTCACCCAAGCTATGATGTGTGTTTTTGAAGATGATTCTTAAGTGAATTCTCCTTAATAATAATAAAGTGAGAGAGGCTCACCTCATTAGGAAACTTTACAGTTCTTCCTCTGTTGAGTCCTTCAAGGTATATTCTGCTATAAAGCCAACCATAGTTCACTTTTAGCTAACTATATGTTTATTCTCCCTACAATATTTTTGCTTTACCCCAATTAACTCAGTGTGTCCTATTACCCAACTTTAATCATATTATTACTCCGTTAAAATGGGAGTCTGAAATTCCTCTTTCCCATCTCACCTCAGCACCTCTGTTTACATGGTGATGCAGCCTATAATCTGACACTATATTCAACTTGATTCCCCTATTCTTTTACCAATATCATTCATTTCCATTTGATCAGATCCTTAGATCTATTTTCAATTTTTTTTTGCCAGCCCCACCTAAAGCCTAAGCCTTCAAGCCTTTCTCCCTGAATATTTTTGCTTCACTTCATACTCATTTTTCATATCTTTTAAACTGTATCTTAAGGTGCCACTTCTCTCATTCAGATTCCCACATGCATACACAACCACAAGCCTACAGCATTTCATGTAAACATTGGCTTACATTACTCATTCTGTTGTGAAAATTAATTAGCATTTCTATTATATTGTGATCTTTTTGATACAGAAGTTACATTTTAGCCCTAGATATCCCCAGTGAGGAAGGCATAGATCCATCACAAGGAGATTATACGAATTCTCACTATTTACTAATCAATACTTACCAATGATTTTACAATGCTTACCCCATCAAATCGCAGCATTCAGTGTAACATTCTAAAACGTGATGATATAATGTATAGTTGCATTCTTTGTTGAGTAGAATTAATGTTTATTTCTTTTGTGTTGTTTGTTTTTAAGGACCAAATACATTTGAAGATGCAGGGAACTACATCAAGAACCAGTTTCTAGACCTAAATTTAAAGAAAGAAGATAAGGAAATTTATTCCCATATGACCTGTGCTACTGATACTCAAAATGTCAAGTTTGTGTTTGATGCAGTTACAGATATAATAATCAAAGAGAATCTGAAGGACTGCGGGCTTTTCTAATCAGTTCTTTCCTTTTCCATGCTTTCTCATGCATGCTTTTCAAGATAGGAAAGAAAAAGATATTTTCTGATTAGTTTTAATAGATACTGACTTCTCTAGAGAGATAACTAGCATTCAAGGCCTAGGATTTTCACAAAAATATTCATATATTTTCTTCTGTATCCAGGTAATTTCTTGGGAACACAGAGGGTAAGAATTCTGGTGCCTCTGGTCTAAAATCCAATGTATTTTGGTAACTAAAACAGTGTGTAAATTTCTTGGAATTGAACTTCTGCAAGTAGCTTATTTTCAATCATTAATAAAAATAGTCTTCTAAAACATTTCCATTGTCCAGATTTTGACAATTATTAGCTGTTACTAAGAATGAAAACATTCTGGATCTATAGAGACTTTTAAAAAAATCATAGATAATATTTCTTAGTCAATTACCCCTTAAGGTAACGACTGCCAGTAAAATGTTCACATATTCTTGTCAATGGGAAATTGCATATGCAAAATAAATGTATGCAATTTTGTCAGTTACTTTTTTCCTTTAAAAATCATTAAAATCATATTTCCCCTTAAACGTGCACATCAGTAATATATCTTTTTGCATCATCCTAATAATACAGGGGAAACATATTTGATAAGTAATACACCAGACCGTGTTTGATAATGTAATATACAGTGGAGTGCCATTGTCTGTTTTTTATCCCACAGTAGCATGAATGCAAGTTAATGACCCCAAAGATTCTCAGGTAGTATTACGAGACTGTAAAAGAAAAAATAACTCTTTTAATACTATGTTTTATGTATTGTGAGTATGAACAGGAAGTAGGAACAAACCCATGATAAATTTATAATTAACTGGGAAATAACACTGCCATGTCAACATATCATAAATGGACAAACAAGCTTCTTCAACATTTGATTTATCTTAGTCTACATTCCTTTCTCTGACCTATCAAACTGTTTAAATACAAAATACCATTAGAATCTGTTGTTATTGAGTTCTTGATTATAGCCATTCTAACTGGGTGAGGTGTAATAACAACAGATGCTGGAGGGGATGTGGACAGAAGGGAACCTTACTGCATTGTTGGTGGGAGTGTAAACTTGTTCAACCACTTTGGAAAGCAGTATGGAGGTTCCTCAAAAAACTCCACATAGAGCTCCCCTATGACCCAGCAATCCCACTTTTAGGCATTTACCAAAATGGTCACAAACAAAACCATACTAAAGCTACCAGCACAACTATGTTTATTGCAGCATTATTTACCATAGCTAAGATTTGGAACCAACCCAGATGCCCCTCAGTAGATGAATGGATCAAGAAAATGTGGTATATATACACAATGAAATTCTATGCCTCCATCAGAAAGAATGACAGTGCCCCAGTGCCCCATTTGTTAGGAAATGGAAAGACTTGGAAAAAATTATATTAAGTGAAGTAAGCCAGGCCCAAAGAAACATAGGTCCCATGGTTTCCCTTATTTGCAATAACTAGTATATGTCTGAGACAAGCAGAAAAGGTCAGATAAGATGATGTCAAGCAAAATGAACCCCAAGATAAGTATTCTAATGTTTTTATTTCTTTCATGTGATTGTTTCTAACATATTTATAAGATGATTTTTTTTGTTGCTTTGTATGTCCCTCCCCCACGGTATAACCCCTGCTTTCACTGTATTTGATGTTGGTATAATTTGTGGAGGGGATGGGCAAAAACAAATCGTTTAATAGGGATACAGGTGGACCATTGTAACAATGAGATGTACAAGTCCTTATGTCGAAAAATGATGATCTTTACAACTTTGGCGGGGGGGGGGGACCTGGAGATGAGAAGGGATTGGAAGGGGAAACAAAGGAGGAGACAACAGTGCTTGATAAGAAATGTACTCATTATCTTGCACATGTAATTGTAACCCCTCTGTATGGTATTTTTACAATAAAAATAAAATAAAATAAAATACCATCAGAGAAACATCAAGCTTTACTTTATATATACTATAAACATGAAGAACAAAAGACTTGATTTCTACATCTTTTCCATTTCACTCTCAATGTTTGAGATTTTATGTCTTACAGATATAAAATATCTGATATTTTATATGCAAATATGAATTCTGTACAGAAGACTAATTTAAAAAGTAGGAGACAGCTCTATGCTTTGGATGGAGTAATTCTGCCCTTAAAGGTATGAACAAATGAAGGCCTCTTTCCAATATTTCTGATCTTCTTACAAATCATTCTATAGCCACATGGGGGCACACTTACATCATGTGTTTTTCAACCATAATGTTGCAGACACAAATCTGAATTTCCAATAACCTTAATGAAATAGATAACAAAGTCACCTTAAGAATCATAGTTCATTTTGTACTTCTAGCTCAGTAGTATATGTGAACTTCTGATAATTACATTACACAATGTTTTAGTCAAATTGGTGACTCACAAGGCTATTGAAACAGCTCCGAATTTGTAATACTATATAGATATACATTCTTCTTAGGATCTTGTTATTCTGTCATTTTAAAACTGTTGCTCAAATCCAAGTCACCATTAATTTGACAAAGCATATCTTTCCATTCATCTGCATTGTTTCAACCAATGTGTTAGGATCCCAGCTTAGCTCTTGACAAGAAGGGAAAACATAATTTGATATCTAGCAATGACTATGCTTTGTATGTTGTAATCAATTGACTGCTTACTAATGTATTTCCTTTCACTAAGTCTAAGTAAAATTTCATTTTGCTAAAATATGAACAATTGCATTACTTTGTTTATTACAACTTTGTTCAACCACCACTCCACCCAATAATGAGGGGAAAAGTGGCATTTTCACCATCACTAAAGTGTACTGCCAACACACTTTTCATTAGAAAAAGAACAGTAAATAGAGTCACAAAAAGGGAAAATAAAGTAAAAAGACCTTAACTTATTTCATATGACAGTAATGACCCCCTAATTATTGATATTTTCAGAAAAGGGATGATATATGATAAGCACAGGCAAATTTATTGCTTTGTTTTAAAGATAATTTTTCTCAAGAGTTTAGATTATGCTAAAACCAAACATACATATGACTGACTTTTTTCTTTAAATGTGTACTCTTGACAGTTTTCAGAAAAAAATTTTAAAACGTGGTCAAACATTTAATGCCATTAAAACACCAAAACTGATGGAGATTATTTATATCTTGATGTATTGAAAAGATCTTGGAGCCTATGTTACCTGTTGTTTTAGGGAAATTTACTAGGCAAGAAACACTATCCAGGATGCCAGAGAAAAGGGTCCTCTATGCTGCAATTATTTTATTTAACTAAAATCTGAATACCTCATTCCATTGAAAACACTGAAGAGCACATTCACATAAAATACAACCAATTAAAATTAACTTAGAAGCGAAGAAACAGTTTTATTTCCCTTAGGATAAGTGAGTCTGTCTGTCCACAGTGAGTCCATACATAGTTAACCTGTTCATATCCTCAGACATATGTATGATGAAGATGCAGAATAACCTCCCAGTGCTACAGATTTTCATCGTCTAGTATCATTTTACCTCACGAGATCAACTTTGTCTAAATCCACTGGCAAACATCTTTTTAACTTTTCACTACTCATTGGCTGACTATCCCAACGTGTAAATTTTTCTTTTTGTTTGTTTGGAAATACTCTCCTTGAAGGGCATTGGCTTCAAGGTCTTCATTACCCCCTGACCATCTACATTTCCTGTTTCATTGCTCATAGTTTCTTCCAAAGCCATAGGGAGAGTACACAAAAATGACAACACACTAAGCATAGGTATGTGCATTCCAGAAAAGGGGGGTAGCTTTAGATTATATTCAGCAACTCACACTGACTCAGCAGCTAGTCTACCACTGTCATATATAGCCTTAACCCAGACAATCAGTAGAATAATAAAGAAGTTTTTGAATTGTGTTTTGTGATACAAAATTTCTATATAAACTATATAATATGCATGCCTTTGTGCTGAAAATGAAAATATTGAATAAGTTTTCATTGTGTTCTTTTTTGTTGAACATAAAATTATGTATGTGTGTATGTATATGTTTGTGTGTATACTTCTTTGCACATATCTATACTTTTAAGGATATCGTTTATTGTTTTCAGGTTTCTCCTCTTGCACATCCTTACTCTTACCAAGTGTTAAAGCCTAGAAATGTCTTAGAGATTTTTGTTTACTTATTGACAAATATTGTTATGGAATTTAACTAATGACATTCTCTAATGCATCACAAAGGTTGAAAGCGCCCTTGCTAAATATATGGTGTTTAAAAAAAAATTAGAGAAAACTTCCATTGGCCTTAGTCCTTCTTAAACTCACATTTAATTAGGTAAGTTGTAAAGTTTATATATAATTACTAGGTTTTCTTTAATAAGAAATTCAATAAAAGTACAACTCCCATACTCAACGCGTGCTATATCTCAGTTTCGTTTATCTTCCCAAAACACAAATAATATCATTTCTCTCTTTAAAAGGAGTTTAAAGGCAAATCATCACCAGGTATTATGACCAGATCAGATTAGAAGTAGTTTGTAATCTATTAATGCAATGGCACTTCCAAGACAACTCACACAATTCCATTTTCGGATATAACAGGCCATAAAATTCAATAGAATGTCTACCTGCTTAAAACAATATGTTCACTTTGAATGTTTTTCTGTTATTTTCTGCTTTCACACTAATCTCTTACTCCATGAGAGGTCTATCTTCAAACTCCATCTCTGCCAAGGCCTTGCAGATGTCTGCTTAGATTACTGTTGGGAAGAATAACAACAGGACTGAGCCCACAGCCCCTTAGCAGTGTTCCACACTGAGAAGGATGACAGATTAAAAATATCCACATACTCTTCATGGCATTAATCTCAAACTGTCAGCTGATGAAAAATGCTAGAACTGTGTTGGAAACATGTTGAAGTTTTAAATCAATTTAATTGTGTAGGGCCATATTTTCTCACTGTGTCAAAAATGGGTATTTGATAAGGAAAATATGGAGTAACAGGTAACATAGAAAAGTTCTTGTTTTGATATACAAGTATGTGAAT